ATGAGAAGTTTACCAGATCTTGTTTTGGAATCAGTTTACAAAATAAGTTGCAAACAAATTTCTCTCCCAGTGTTTTGAGATAACAGTGCTGTTCTCTGTTTCAGAGATTCTGGAGTGATGGTAAAATTGTACCCAAACATGACACCAGTGTTACTCCATAATTCACAGCTTGATCAAAGGAAGGTAATAAATGCTTAAACAAGTGGAAGACAAACAGTTAAGAGTTTCTAGTTCACATCATTTCTCACTGAACCTTGTGTGTATTACCTAGTCTGCACACCTGGTGGAGTTTTGGAGTCTTAGTCTAGCAGCAACTTCCTGTTTAACCTTTGTCCTGCATTAGAGCTGCAAGCAATCAAACTTTCAAGTGCTGTGATCCTGCTCTTGATGCCATTAAGCACACCACCATCTTTAGGTCGAATACCCTTTCCTCTGTAACACAGCAGTTGCTCGTTAGCTTGTATTGAGCCACTTAGGTCTGTGTGAAGTTGCCTGATGAAGAAAAATGTATTGTTCTTGTTTTGCTCTTTTTTTTCCTCCTGAAAGCTATGTTGGTGTAGAACTGGTAGCAGAAATTCATGTTAGTGACAGGGGAAAGCATAGAAGAAAGGATTTGGGCAGCGCTGGGAAAATACCTGCGTGTATTGCTGACAGAAGAGCAGGGGGTGGCTTCAGGAAGTAAAAGTGTGGTTTTAACAAATGCAGATGGAGGAGGATGTAGTAATTGTTTAAATGTAGCTGTCAGCTACATTTTTGATAGTGTGCTCTATGTCTAATCTATATAAACGATCTGCTAATTAGGTTCCTGCAGTCTCTGGCTTGGCAGCAAGCAATAAATAGATCTACTGGTATTCTTTTGTTTCTTGCTCTCATGCATTCTGTGTGTTAGCCAACAGTCCTTTGCAAGGTACATTGCTAAGAAGCTGTCCTTCTGCCTTGTTTGTGAGGAAAATGCACCTGTGATTTCTCCCTTGTTCTTCTGTCAGCTGGTTGCCTCTTCCAAGAGACAGTAGTTGTTTCAGGCACCTGGTAGTGGTTTGCAGTTCGCTGTCAATGTGCTTCAAAACAACATCAGCTTTGTAGAGAGCATGTAATTATTCTTAATTCTCAACTGGTGAGACAGGGCAGGTCTGAATTCTTCCCTTGCTGAAATGATTTGTATCAATGAGAGAATATTTCTTTTCCAGCTACTGTTACTTGGCATTTATCTTTCATTTTTCATAATACAAGACTGTACACTGTTTCTTTGGTGTATTTTTACAGAAAAAGAATCTACTGTAGATAAAGGATTTATGCTGTGCTGAATCCCTAAAGGAGGGGGTTTTTTTTATGTTTTGTTTTAAAAAATTGTAAGATTAAAGTGTTTTGTTTTTCTTTTCTGAAAAATACTGTGTTCTAGATCAAACATCCCAGTGCCCTGGGATTAGAAGTTGGACAAGAAATCCAGGTAATTTTAAGGACTTTAAATTGACAACAGACTGCCTGCCATTCATGTATTAGTATTTGTGTGAATTTCTCATGTTTATGAAGGAAATGCTGTCAGATTATTTTGCTGTGCTGCTTAAATGCCTGATGATTTTAAAAAAAAAATCTCTGAATTTTTGCTGTCATATTCCTGCTATCCTAAGCAGCATGTGAATGTGACTGAGCAGTAGAGACTTGAAGAGCATCTGTTGTGTGTGATTTTCTTCACATTAAAAAAAATAAATGAAGGGAAATGCCAGCTCTAGCTCTCTAAGTTGGTCGCTCTCGCGTTGTTGTTGAACTTTGTGATGTCTGAAGCACTGTGGTGATCTTAAAGTGGCAAGTTTTCTTAACAGGTTAAATACTTTGGGCGTGATCCAACTGATGGTAGAATGAGGCTTTCTCGCAAAGTGCTGCAGTCACCAGCCACCACCGTGCTTAAAACCCTTACAGACAAAAACAGTATTGTCCTGGGAGGCACTGCTCCAGAGTCGTCGTCTTCATCGCAGTGACAAGTAAGGCTACCAGCAATATGAGAGACAGCTCTGTGCTGTACCTTCCTTATAAGTACTGTATAGAGTTCTGTCAGCCTTTCTGTACAGTTAATCTTCAGCAATGTGGGATTACTGCTTGCCAGCTACGTTACAACTTCTCATAAGGGGCTTGATGTTGTACAGTGGGTTCAAATGTCTCAACAGTTTCCAGCTTCCTAAACAGTGTACTTTCTCCAAAACCATTTTACCTCTTAAACGTCTCTTTAAGTATTCAATCTTCTCTAGCCTGCCACCGAAAGTGCTTCTGAATTTGGTGCCCTGGTATTAGCTTACAGAGTATTTTCTATTTCTTCCATTATCTACCAGGGCTTCCTCCTGAAAATTTGATCCATCTTCACCTGAGTCTGCAGATGTCTTCACAGCAATCTGTATATGGATGGGAGTGAACCATGTTTTTGAAACAGATGCTGTTCATGTTAAAGGTGATGTGGAACTTCAAAGTCTTGAAACTGATTAAAACACTGTTCAAAAGAAAAACTGAAACAGTTGTGTACCATGGTGAGAATCTAGGAATGTGGAATTGTACAGATTGAAGAGCGGATTGTTTTGGTTTTCTTCTGACAACCGCTTCAGTTCTCAAGGCTTTTTTCTCACTGTCATCTCAAGACAGAAATGTAAAGATGAGAAGTGCTGAAAAAGTGCTTCTGGGAGAAGAAATTGTCCTGTATGTTGGTCAGTGTCAGCAGCTGAGGCATACTTGGCCAGACCAACTTCTGCTGGCTTTTCAGAGTACAAGATTGAAATGTTGGTCAAAATGTGTAAACTTAAAAATGATCTCCTTTATCATGACTGATGTTGTTTCAGATAAATTGATGACTGCCATAGGATTCAGAATTGCTGAAATTATGTTCTATTGTCTGGCTTCCTGATCCTTTGAATTTCAAAATATTTCCAAGGGTCTCCCTAGAACTACTTGTTCTTCTACGGTGAGATACAGATCTTAAAAATCCAACAGAGATCCCCTCTGATGTGCTCAAATTTGTAGATATTCTTCATAGGATAATCAGGTTTCTGACAGCAAGTGGGCTCTGGAGCTTTTGAAGGAAAAAACAAACAAACAACACTGTGGAGAAGAGAAATGTGAATTTATTGTAAAAAATTGTTTTGCTTTTTTTACTCTAACCTAAAATATTAAAGAAAACGACTCGCCAACTTCTTTTGCAGCTGTCATTCTTTCATTGAGTTGTCACGCTCGTCTGTAAGGGCTGTATGCTTATATTTCTTAGTAAGAATTCTAATACCTTTACTTACCATAAGCTAGTTAATTTGACTGGTATCCTAGTTGTTAGATAATGTTCTTGATAGTGTTAATGAAATGGTGTGCTTTTTCAAGATGTAACTTCCCTTTACTATAGCAAACTTCCTGTAGAGTTCCTTTTTGTAGTGGGACAGCTACTAAAATACCACACAAAATACTTAGGAGCTTTTTAGTTAGTACTTTGCCAATAAGATGCTTGCATTTGAGTCTGAAAATGAAAAACCTGAAACTCTCGCCTGCAGTATTGATGGCTTATGTTTGTCCATGTGGTGATCTCACTAACTGAACTGTGGGGGTGCTGGGGAATTTGTTTGTTCAGTGGAGGGGGGCAAGATGTGTAAGTTTCCATGGGTGAAACCTCTACAGTCAACCTGACTTTCTGCACTCGTTACAAGTTCCAGGCTCAAAGGGAAGGGGTGAAAGGAAATTTTGCATGGAAAGTGTCAGGGAGGATCACAGACCAGCTGCTCTTCTTCGAGGAGTGGAGCTCAGTTGGAGCCAGGAACAGAGTAAATGTGTGCAAATGAGAACCGTCCTGGAGAGATGGCAGGTTGGCTGCATTTGGAGCTGCCCATAGCAGCAGGTTGGGCTGTGGCTGGAGGTGCTTGGCTCTTCCCTTCAGGTTATTGGCTGTGATCACAGAGCAGGTGTCTATTTCTTCATGTTTGAAATAGTGATGTATATGCATTTTTTTGTCAGTGCTGATGTAGATAATCAGCTGTTTTAATGATCCATCATCCCAAATGGGGCCACTGAGAAGAATTGCTATGGAAAGTGGGCAAAAACTATACAGTGGAAGTATGATACTTGGCCGTACTGCGTAACTGGTGAAAACTTTTAAACTTTAAAGATGGATTTGATTTTTAGTGGTTTAGATAAGATTATGTTATGGTTGCTAACACTCCGTCCAACCCCCAGTTTAGAAGGAGAGGCCATCCTTCACTTTACACGTTGGCTGAAGGGTGAGTGCATGTAGAGGTCTTGCAGAGGGAGGAAGGGAGTGGCGGGGATCCTGAGGCAGCAGCATGCTGTGACCTTGAGTTTTGAGCTTACTTTAGCACGTTTCTTTCTATTGGGCTCTCACTTGAGCAGAAATAATCCTGATCTGTAAAATTTATACATATAATGGTGGATATTTCTACAACTAGAAGCTGGGAAGCCAGCTGCCTTGTGTTCTTCCTAACATGGCTAGTCAAACTACAGCAGTCCTTTATACAGTTACCAACCTGCGCACAGAAAGGATGTTCAGCATAAGCACACAGAGGTGTATCTCTGTTGCAAAAGCTGGTAAGGATTTTGTTTTCAGTGGGAGTGCAACAAAACGCACATCGCAGTGTCGGCTGGTGGTGCTGCTGTGACAGGGTGGGTGGAGAAGGAGCTGCTGCAGACCGATCCTGGTGTTTTTTGTGAGCGAAACGTCAGTCTTTGCTTTCAGGACTCGGTGATGGACCTCGTGCGGGTACCGGCCCTGGGCCCGGGCTTTAGGGACGTGCTGTGTGTAACTCACGGTGGGCATTAGGTGTGCTACAAAGACGTAAAAGCTCGGTTCAACGGGCTCAGAACCGCCCGGCTCGGGGCCCGAGAAGCGCGAGGATTCGGGCGGGCCCCGCCGCAGCCCCGCCCCGCCCGCTGCCGCCGTCCCGGCTGCGGCGCCGAGGCAACTGCCGGCCACCGTAGCCCCTGCGAGGGGAGCCCGTGGCCGGGCTGGGAGGAAGAGAAAGGCGGCGAGAGTCGGGTTACAAGATGGCGGCGGCGCCGCGGTAGCTGCCGAGGCGGCGGAGCGGCGCCAGGGAGGCCCGAGCCGGGGCGCGGCGTCGCCCTCTCGCCGGCGGGGAGCCATGAAAAGCGGCGCGTTAAAGGCCCCGCGCTGCCCCTGAGCGGCCGCCGCCCCGCTTCCAAGCCCGCTCTCGGCTCCATCGCCCCCCGGAGGCGGAGCGGGCCCGGGGCCGGAGCGCGGGCCCGAGGCCGGGGCCGCACCATGTCGGACACCCGCCGGCGGGTGAAGGTCTACACCCTGAACGAGGATCGGCAATGGGACGACAGGGGCACCGGGCACGTCTCCTCCACCTACGTGGAGCGCCTCAAGGGGATGTCGCTGCTGGTGCGCGCCGAGTCGGACGGTGAGAGCGTGGCCGGGGCTGCGCGGAGGCCTGGGCCTCCTCCGGGCCGCCTCCTCCGGGCTCCCCTTTTCCCTTCCCTTTCCCTGTCGGCGGTCCGGAGGCCGCCGGGCCTCTCCCCGCGTGCCTTGCGCTGCGCTGCCCGCCCGCGGCTCCTTCCTGCCCCCGGCCGAGGGCAGATGGAGCTGCTGCACGTGACGACATCTTGTTCGGCTGCAGCAAAGGCTGCTTTTCGGTTCTGGAGCGCCCTGTGCTTTCCCCGCTCGGTGCTGTAGGAGGGCTTTTTCCGCCCTGGGAATTCAGTGATGCTATCCCGAAGGGCTCAGGTCGTGTTGTGTGTTGTTGCCTTACGTTCTGGAGTCGCTGTACGGCTGTGTGCCTGGCAGAGGGCACGCTCCGGCCGCTCAGCAGCCAACAGGTGCCAGCGTGCTGAATAAAGCACCTCAGAGCCTACGGATTGCGCTGGAGCTGTTGCCAGGATACATACACTGCTCACATACACAGTGTGGAGCGTTGGGTTTATCTGGATGATTCACTTGTGAAGGGCAGTTGAAGGAAATAAAAGCAAATGGCCCCACGTGGCTTGTGTGGGCAAACATGTTTTCATTCTGTGCAGCATGTTCCCCGCTGTGAGTTTGTATGTGTTTGATACAGGGCCCTTAAAGCGGTGAATTGTCACTCTGGGTCCCTGGGGAGAAAGTAGTGTGGAGAATTTAGAGTTTTACTGTAGGTGTTAAATCTTGTTTTATCTGGCTTACTTAGAATTATGTCAAAAGAGTATTGTTCTGTGGGACTTCCTGGAAGATGTGGGTTAGGCTCAAGATGTAAGATCCATGGAAATGTTTGCTTTGTTAAACTCAATGTCCTCATAACTTTTTCAGGTTCACTACTGCTAGAATCGAAGATAAATCCAAACACTGCATATCAGAAACAGCAGGTAAGTATCATTACCAGGCTGCACCTTCTCTGATCACTGATGCTCAGACTGACTGTCCTGCAGGAAGAGAGACGTGTGATGTGCAGTTGGTGGTGGTGCTTTTTCGTAGAGCTGAAGCACTTAAGTTAGGAGCCTATAGGTGCTGTCTGGCTTTGTGTTCTAGAAACGTGAATATTGTTCTCCTAAAAAGCCTTTTGAAATGAAGGCTTTGAAGAGGATCTGTGCGTAATATTTGGCCCTTGTTACAGGAAAATTAGTTAGAAATGCATACAGCCTGTAGTGGGAGACAGGGGTTGCACATGTGAAATAACTGACATATGAGGAAGGCAACAGTTCAGCTGCCTTGTGATTTCTGCTGTGTTTATTTCCACCATTCTTTCTTTGACAGTAATACAAAGGAGTTTGTGGGCTTTGTTATTGTTGTTGTTGACCTCGTGCTTTAAGCTTTGAAACCCCCTGCTCTCCTCAGTGAGATGCCTGCAGTTGGGGGACTTAGCTGCACAGTTGCCTTTCCTGGGGGTAAGGCTTCTGCAACACAAAGGAGCAGAACAGTTGGGAGCTACGTTATTAGGTCATCTTTGTTTAACACACTGAAACAGTCTACCACATCTCTTGCTTTTACTGCGTTTTTTCCTTTTTCTGTGTTCCATCTTGATGTCTCTGCCTCCATTGTTCTCATGGTTTTGTTCTGTGTTGGTTTTCTTTTTTTCTGTCTATTTCTTTGTTCTGCGGTGAATTCTGTTTCTTTTGTTCAGTGTTTTATACTGCTCTTCATCATTATGCTGTCCAGAAGCGTTTCAGCTCTAGAAAACAATTTGATTTTCTTCCTAAATCGTTAAGAGCCTGTTGAAGTGTTTCACTTTGGATTTTTTCAGAAGGCAGATGACAAGTTACGTTCTGAGGATTTGAGGAGAGGGGCCTTCATGCAGATTGGCTGCGGGCAGACTTAGGCTCATTTCTCAGAAAGCTTCTTTCTGTGGTTTCCATTTTTCTCTGGTGAGATGTTGGTGTATTCAGTCAGGTGATGCTTGCTGGCTTTTCTTGGGTGGGTGGCAGGAGATATTGGTGGGAGTTCTGCAGGGTTCTGCGAGTCAGAGGCCTTGAGCTGCTTCCTGTTTGGTGCAGGAAGCTAACGCCTCACAAAAACACCAGTGCAGGCTGCCTTGCTGCAAAGCTGGAAGTGCTTCCTTTTGCTGCCTGTCCTCTGAAATCCTCAGACAGCTGCTTGTTTGAAAACTTTCTTTACTTAACTGAGAGAAGTCTCATTTGACTTAATTAGGTGGTTGGCTTTTTGTTGTTGTCTATCTAGGCTGTAGTTCTAAAAACCTTATCTTAGGCTGAAGTTTGTTTGGGTTGGCTCTTACTGTCAGTTCTAATGCTTCTTTGCCCTTGTGGCTGAGTGTTTACTTTGCTTCTCACTCTTTTGGGGAAGTCTTCATTTTTTTGTTTTTATTTTTAAGTACTTACGATGGGAGTTTTCCAGAGACAGGTTGGAGATTTGTCTCAGTTCTGAACTCATGCTGCTTTTATTTGACTAGCGCTTTGTCTTCAATTTTTATGTGCCTATTGCAAAGAGCCAAACTTTTGGCTGTCCTGTGCTTCAGCCTCAGCTCAGATTGTAGTTCTCACAAGTCCATTTCTCAGCAGATGTTATTAAAACGGTGGGAAGAATCAGGCAAAATATTTTGGCTGATAAGAACATGGATTGTCTTTCTTTAGCACCCTGGCTGAGGTCTGCTGTGCAGGCAGCCTGAGGACTTGTGGCTGTCTGTCCAGGCCAGGCACTTCAGGTGGTGTCAGAGTTCAGCTGCAGATTTCATTGAGGTGCCTTTCACCTTGGGTCTGGGGGAAGCCACAAGATGGTGCACCTTGACAGAGAGGAAACCTGCCCTGCCTACGCATTGAGAAGGACTTGAATCCACTTACAGAGTAGCTGTTGCTTCAGCTGTGATTTGCATAACATCGTTCTGTGGGTGGGGAAAAAAAAAACCCTGATATTTAATCACTGTGCATGAGTATATGATTCCCAGTTTGTGCTGAGTAGTACTAGAACTATGGGCTAATTGTAAACAAAACTGCCTTCTTGAATCCCGCTTGTGGTGCCTGGCTTTGTGCAGGGTTCTGTTCTGTCACAGCCTTAGCAAGCAATAGTCACGACCTCTCCTCACTTGAAACATGACATAAGTGGCAGGCTGCTCAGCACACAGCCTGAAAGAGCCTCTGATTCCACGTCTGCAAACAGCAAGGGGCACCCTAAGAGCTTTAGGTCACCCTGCTTTTGGGGCCTGGGCTCTGAGAGCAAAATGCCTGTGCTGAGCACGGGTGGTTGCCAAAGGGCAGGGTCAGATGTGCTCCGGAGGCTCTGGCAGGAGCAGTTTCAGAAGTTGTTGCCGCACCCATCTGTTGTTCCACCCTCTGCTTGAGGTTACTGTTCCCTGGCAGGGCTGGCAGAAGGGTGGATGAGTGCTGCAGTGAGATCAGATGGCTGTGCTGCTTTGTTCCTGCCGAGCGGCTCTGAGGGCGGTCGTTTGCAGCTGTGTGGCTTTAAGCCTTGAAGCTGCTACAGAAATTCTCACTGTGCGCAGCACCTTCTGATGGTAGAGCTCCCCGAAAGGAGCATTGCCTGTTTTCAGATGTGAGATGAGGAATGCTCTTGAAGCACAGTTGCTGTCATTCGGGTGACATCGGAGCAATTTGCTTCAGGCAAAGTCAGCAGAGTTGCTTGAGGCTGGGATTCAGTATGCTTCCAGTGGTGCAACGCTGTGCTTGTTTCAAGTGGGCCAGGGTTGGTTTTCTTCATGGTGTCTGCTGTGATGCTGTGTTGTGTCTCTGGGAGAAAAATAGCGGTGATAACATGCCAACATTTGAGTTGTTGGTGAGTAGTGCTGCACAGGGCCAGCTGGGGGAATTTTGGCTTCTTGTACTGTCCTGCCAGCAAGGGGCTGGGATGGCACAAGGAGCCAAGAGGGACACAACCAGCCCTGCTGATGGATAGTCCACACCTTGTGGCATTACATAGAAAGCTATAAAGATGGGGGATTGGCTGGGGGGCTTTGCAGCCAGTGAGCATGGCTGGGCATCGGACTGTAGGTGGTGAGCAAATCGTGTTGTTTATCAGTTCTTCTGTAAACATAATTATCATTACTGCTATTTCTTTCTTTTCTCTTAGTAAATAGGTTTTATCTCAACGTCTGAGTTCTGTTTCTTAGGGCTTTTTTCCTCTCAATTCTCTCCCCCATTCCACTGGGAGTGGAGGGAGGGAGCGAACGGCCGCATGGTGCTGAGCTGCTGCTGGGTTAAACCACAACGGACTGAAGGCAGCTGAGCAGTTAGCACGAGCATCCATGCAGCTGCTTGGCAGATCAGCTGTAGGAGCTGATCCCACCAAACATCTCTTTCCACTGGCTGAGCTACCTCCCTCTTTCCCCGACTGCTAGCATTGGAGGAGAGTGAGGGGCTGGCCTGGAGACACTGAGAGGGAGCAGCAGGCATTTTGTGATCTTGCCCTGACAGTGAGGAGGGAGTGAGCTGCTCTTTTAGAGCTCAGGTTGTTGATCTGAATTACTCTTTTTCTTGCTTTGTGTTGTGTTGTATCGTTTGAGTGGATTCAGGAAGATTGCTGCTGCTGATCTGAGCATGCCAGAGCAGTGTTGGTGTGAAGGAGCTGGGCCTGGGATGTGTCAGTCAGTCTGTGATGCTGGGTGCTCTTAGGTCGTGCAGGAAGCATAGGGATGACAGGTAAAAATTCAGTGTGGGACAGTTATTTTCTGATGAAACTGAAGAAGACAACAGGCAGCATCTTGCCTGTGAGCTGAGTGGGAGTGTTTAAAGAGAGCAGGAAGGATCCTGGTTGCTCCTTGTGGTTCTTCTCTGTGCTTATTTGTTGGAAGTACTTGAGACAGTTTATGTCTTAAAGTCCTTTGGAAATATTTTTGGAGAAACTTACAGAACTTGTGCAAGCATTGCAGAGTGCAGCAGGCACTGTTCAGTAACTCAGAATTCTCACCAAACGTTTAAGCACAGCCTGTGGGTGCATGCAGTCGTTGGAGTCACTGATGAGTGTCTGGTATTTGTGTGATCCTGGGCTGTGAGCAGGACTTCAGCCTGCGTTCATTGAGCTTCCTCTGGGATTCAGCTTACGTGCAGCAGCATTGATTTGTGAGCATTAGGGCATCAGTGGTTTCGCAGAACACTTTCAGGTATACGTTTCCCATTTTGATTTTTGCAATTCCCAAGAAATTGTACTTAAGAATTCTCTTTAATTGAATTGGTCTGTAAAAGACAAGTGTTTTTAAGGGAGGATGTTACAGGAAAGACAAGTTGATGCTATTAATTTGCAGCATCAGTTAAATCATTCTGTTTTACACTATTGACTGATTTTATGTTGTAAAATGTCTTCAGGTGGTAACAGGCATCCCACAGCACACGTGTACTTGAATGAAAGTGATTCCAAGCTCTTTTCAGGGAGCCTATATCAAATTTATTGATCAAAATCACTGCTAATGCATTTGGTACAAAAACCTACATATTGTTTTCACTTCCTGCAAATAAGCTCCTTTGGCAAGGCCGAGTGACCCCTTGGGAGACCTCTTTCTGCTGTGTTCTTCTTTGGGTTCTGTGCAGCTCAGTTGGAATCGAGTTGGGAGCCGACTGGATTTTCAGTTTCTGCAGTTTCCAGCTGTTCCTGTTCCTTGAAGGCCAGTTCCCTGCTCTCTCTCCAATGTCACGCTCACTGTAAGCATGGGCTGAGCTGTCCGGGAGCCACAGACGAGACTCAACAGCTGTGAGCAGGGTGGTGCCAGCCTAGGAAGCTGTGCTGTTTGCACACGTGGGTCAACCCCAAAGTGGGGAAAACGTAGCAGGAAAGTGCAGGTGTCCTATGAGGGCACTGTGGTAACAAAGAGCTCTTGTGAGCACTGCAGTGAGCTCACTAGGGAAGACCTTTCTCTTTAAGGAAAAGTAGACAGATAGGGGGAGAAATACTGAGCTTGTACAATTGCTGTTGTTTAGCGTGGCTTGTGGTTTTCCTGGGGAATACAGAAGCTGATTTAGTAGTAGGCCTACATCATCAAGGTTGCCATAAGAGAAGCAATAGTGTGCCTGAGAAGCAAAGATGGAAGCGCAGCACCGCGTGTGGCTGTTGCAAGGACGCTGCAGAAGCTCCCTGGAGAGCTGCTGGCTGTGGAGCTGCAGCAGTTGTTTGGCACGTGGTGTGGGAGGAGAGGCCCCCTGTGAGCCGTGCAGCTGCAGGTCAGCTCTCTGCTCCCTGAGCTGCCCCCCAGTTGCTGCCGGCTCTGCTTGCAGATCTGAGCTAACCCAGCTTGGGTCAGGGAGGATGAAGGAATGCTGACTGTGACACGGGGGGGGGTGGGAGCAGTGGGGATCACCTGGGAAGGCAGTAATCCTTTCTGAGACCTTTGGGAGAAGGCTTCTTCCCTTGGATGTGGGATGGGCCAGGCTTGAGAGCCCTTTGGGGTAGGGATGTGAGGGAGAGGGCGCTGGGACCTCTGCTCCTTGTTGCCCGTTGCTTTCCTCTAATACACTGGGTGTCTGTAAGCCCCCCACTGGTTTGCTTGGGTCTGATTGCTGAACTTGAAAATGTCACTCAGGTATTTTGTTTGTGACAAAAGTACAAGGTGAAGGGTCAAGACTTACAGGCCTCCCTAAGTTGTGTGCTTAATATTGTCCTCAGCAGAAGTAGGAAGTGAATTGCCTTACTGACATGAAGCGAGGGTTTACTGGGGCTTAAAACAAGTTGTGGTAGCAGTTCAGGAAGTCAACAGACGTAACAGCATTGAACTGTTCTGCTGGAGCTCTCAAAGCCAGCAGAGAGCAGATGGCGTGAAGCACTTTGATGTGCAGAGGGGTTTACTGTGGGATGCAGAGCTGCATGTTTGGGTGTCGGAGCACAGGCTTCATTCCTGACCTGGCAGCTCTGCTGCAGACCCGGTAACTCGCATGTTTTGAGCCTGATGCACTGAAATTCTCAGCCACTCTGAATTAAGTTACGTTCAGGCAGTTTTGCTCTGCAAGTTTGCTCAGTATGTGTTTGAATGGCCTTGTTTTGGAAATATTCTACCCGAAATGAGGAAGTCGGGCTTGTTTCAAAACAAAAGACTGTACTGGTAGTGTCATATAGTGAGATAAGTCAGAAGATGTTTTAGGTGCCTGCTAAGAGGAATGCGTGACTTAGAGCAGCACGTCACCTAACAAAACCTCACCAAAAAAGATCTCCTATAGTCTATGCCAAAATTCAGATGTGAAATCTATTGTTCAAACGTACAAATGCAATTAGTAGAGGTGGAAATTAATTATTCAGTTATTATTCAGTTAATTACAGAGGAAAAGAAAACTGGCTCAGTTGAAAATGTCTGTTGCCAAGGTGTTTGTGGGCTTGATAGTAACTTACTGCTTGGGTTACATAAAACTTGCATGTCTTGCGGTTTAGGAAAACATATTGCATGTGTTGAGGTTTGTGATACTCAAGGCTTTATTTCTCACGTCGTTACAGCTGTGTTAAACTCCTTCTGAGAAGGAAATGATGATCTTTTACTTTCATCCACAGCTTGAGAAGAATTTCAGGTTTTTCATATTTACGTTACAGATTTACTTTACTTTTTGTGTGCATTCATGTGCACAGTCAGAACTACTGTATGTTGCAGAGAAATGCCATTATGAATGCATTCAATATGGAAAGATGAATATACAAGAGAACATGCATTTAATAAAAAAAAAAGTGATGTCCTTTAGAGCAGAACAGAGAAGTTAAGATTTCAGTGACTAAAGCTTTGACAAAGGTAACATGAATTATTACTTATTCCTTAGATGTGGTTCTGCAGAATACAGTTGAATCCCTGGTGAAGATCTGAACTGTCTGAGCAATGAATGCATTTGTTGTTGGTTTTTCTTGTCTTCAACAGGACACCTTGATTGTGTGGTCAGAAGCAGAGAACTATGACTTAGCACTGAGTTTTCAAGAAAAAGCTGGCTGTGATGAAATCTGGGAAAAAATCTGCCAGGTACATGAAAATTTCCTATTGTTTCTTGCAGATGTTTTAGTGTCTTCTGTCTTCTCATGTATTTGTGTTGTACTTTTAAAACCTATTTGTAAAACAAGCATGTCTTTGTCATTGCTTTCTGTGGCTTTTCTGTGTCAAATCTTAAGTTGCCACTCCTTAGAACAAAATGTGTGTTTTTCACAGTTGGCCTTCCTGCTCTTGAAATCAGCGAGAGAAACCCAGGTTTTGACTTTCTTTTAGGTTAAAAACTAGAAAACCTCGAGTGCTGGATTTGAACCGTCCAGGGGGGAGCTGCTGGTTGTAATCAGCTGCAATACGTGTGGGCCCAGCTCTCCCTCAGTGAGAGGCACTGCTGGCACTGCTGTCTGAGCTCAGGATGTCAGCCATGTTTCCATCAAGGCCTAAGTCTTACTCACCATGTCTTGGGGGTGTTTCAGCCTGCCCTGTGTTAGTAGGTAACAGAGTTCAGGTCTCACGCTTTCGATTCTGCTAGTAACTGATGAGGGGAGTTACTACACCTACGTGTACTTCACAGAAGAAGCCCAGACTTTTGTGTCAGAATTGATCCTAATTGTCTCAGATTCTGGAGAACATAAAGCTGTAACTAAAGAAACTGAGAACCAAAATAGCTGATTAAGATGCTTTCTCATACTCCAAAGCATACTGAGGTTGAATCTTCTCAGTCAGTTGTGAAATACTGAAAGGAACTGATGCTAGTGGCTGCAGATATGTCTCGTACATAGTCCAGGTTTTCAGTTAGTCCTGTGTGGGCTGATCTGATAATCAGTGTGAAAGGAAGGTCTTCCTGTGGTCAGATGGTGCCAGCCATTAGCCTTAGTTCTTTCATTGGATTTCAGAGCTCGTAGCACTTGGAGACTCCCCTCTGGGAGGTGATCCTTTGTGGGAGAGGTCTGATAGGAGTTAATAAATCTTAGGATGAGTACAGGAAAGAAGAAGTACAGGGTGTGTGAGTAGGCTGGGGGAAAGAGGGGAGCATGCTGAACAGAGCAAGAGTGTGGAGTGGGGGTCAGCTGCATCCCTCTTTCCCTATTCAGTTTGGGCATCCATTATACCTGTATGCCTTTGTTCTTGGTCTTTTTGTTACGGTTCACATCACGTTAGCATAGCTGTGGGCTCCTGCCATGACTTCATACCCTAGTCTTCCCCTCTGTTTGAGATACTGAAAGAAGGCTTTGTTATGCCCTTCTCTACTTTCTCCATTTTATCTTCAGGGTGCTTCAGCTTTCTTTGTTGCACAGATGTGGTTAGGTGTTGATGGGTTGGTTTGATTTTTGACAAATACCTACTGGAGGTAATGGTAGCATCTTCTGTAGAATTCACAGGCAGCAGACCTGACTATTTTTCCTCACGGCCAGAAACATCGCAGGCAGCTGAAGGCACGAAAGGATTTATGTACGTTCTCTGCTTGATTGCTCTTACGTACGTGTTGGGATGTGACAGTTAACTGTGTGCACTGCTTTTAGGTTCAGGGTAAGGACCCTTCAGTGGAAGTCACACAGGACCTTATCGAGTCTGAAGAGGAGCACATAGAAGAAATGCCCGAAACCAGTCCTTTGATCGACCTTCCTTCTTGTGAACTCAACAAACTTGAAGAGATTGCTGACCTTGTTACCTCTGTTCTCTCCTCACCCATCCGTAGAGAAAAGCTAGCTCTGGCCCTGGAGAACGAAGGCTACATTAAAAAACTATTGCAGCTTTTCCAAGTCTGCGAGAATTTAGAGAACACAGAAGGCTTGCATCATTTGTATGAAATTATTAGAGGAATTTTGTTCCTCAATAAAGCAACTCTGTTTGAGGTGATGTTTTCTGATGAGTGTATTATGGATGTTGTTGGATGCCTTGAGTATGACCCTTCTTTGGCTCAGCCAAAACGGCACAGGGAGTTCTTGACCAAAACAGCAAAATTTAAGGAGGTTATTCCTATCACAGACTCTGAACTCAGGCAAAAAATCCATCAGACTTACAGGGTACAGTACATTCAGGACATCATCTTGCCGACGCCATCGGTTTTTGAAGAGAATTTTCTTTCTACCCTTACTTCCTTTATTTTCTTCAACAAAGTTGAGATTGTCAGTATGTTGCAGGTAAGTGACTTTTAATATGCTATGGATTCCTGGTGTGTAGATGCATCTAGTTGCAATTTGCAATTGATCTAGTTGCAAAAACTGGTTATGGCTCTTCAGTGTGTGAAGTAGTTGCATGTTTTCCCCTGATTTCTGATACCTTAATTTTATTTTTGATTTTTAAAAACGTTAGACTTCAGATTTACAGGCTTTCGGTATGTTGTAAATAATTCATTGTACTGATGTCTGATGCTCATGCTGTGATATGAAGCAGTTGATTCACTGGTTTTCTCTTCCTGCTGATATCCCACAGTAATAACGCATAAAATATTGCAATTCCAAGGTCCTGAAAAATATTCTGAAGACTTCACAGTCAGAAATAGATTTAAAAGCAGCTGATGGTCGCAGACCAAGTGGACTGTGGAAAGAGCCTTAGATGTGAAGTGCTCTGCATGCATGTGGTGATGATTTGGGTGTTTTCAGTTCATGTTTTGTTGTGCAGACTGAGGGCTGCGGAGTGGTTTAGTTCTGTTTGTGGTGCATTTGCTTTGGAATATGGCACATTTAGGTGGAGCAGAACTTCACAGACCTGTCAGTTCTTTCCTTCAAATGAAAATATTAAAGTTGTGGAAGGAAGCAGGCAGTGGAGGAGTAACAGTGCCATGAGGGGTGTTTCTAAGGACTGCAGTAGAGGAGCGGAGAGAGAAAACCCAAAAACCTAGAACTACTCAAACACAAAGGAACAACAAAAGGCAGCTATGTGGATGAGCTTTGGAGCTGCTCTTTACTTGGGTTGAACAGCAGAAAGAAGCAAAGTAGGTCTCTCTTGCAAAAAGAATGACTTGGTTCAGGAAATCTTTCCCATTTTATTACTTTGCATTAGTCACTTCTTAAAATGTAAAAATACACTCAGTGTCATTTTCCCAGGGCCACAGTCCTGCTTCCATTTAGAGAGAGACTGAAAAAAGAAAAGGTTTTCATGTTCCATTGAAGTTTTACTGCACTGAACATTTAATTGTACCTTAGCAGAAAGCTCCCACTTCGTGGCTCGTCTCTCTGGTTCTCTTCAGTGAAGCTCTGGACTGTGGCAGTTCTGTGCTCTCTGTCACTGCCCTCTGGGCTGTGGTTGGGATGAGTGGATGGCACACAGTTTGTCTGGTGTTAGCACTGTAATTGAGGCACGCACGTTGATCTACAAGTGGCATTGCTGCCTCCATCAGTTCGCCTGCCTCGAGGGTGACGCAGAAAGCACAGGCCGAAGTTTCTGGCTGTCGTAGCTCTGGGGAGCTGCGCGGTGGTGCTAAGAAGAGGTTCAGGACTTTTCCCACTTTCCTGGTGTAAATCAGCTTCTTTGTGTGGCATAAGAATCCTGGAGCTCCTCTGGGTTTGGTGTAGAAATTAGAAATCTTGCTGCCTTGGGCACACCAGTGGGGAACGCGGCCGATAGGAGTAACAGGTTGTGCAGCAGCAGGGCTCTGATGGGTGGGAAGCAGAGCGAGAATAGAAAGTGAGCCTGGAGCTGTGCTGTGCTCCAGGACGTGAGGACTACAGCTGCAGCAGCTTTACACACAATCTGCTTGTTGTGATAGGATTTTTTTAACAGGCTGAATTTAGCTGTTAAGGCCAGCAGTGCTTAAAATAAACCAGTAAGTCTGTGCGGGTCATCTTCCATCTGATGCTGATTCAGGTATCACTCGTAGTGAAGCTTAACGTTAGCGTTGGCTTGAAGATCTGTATTGTGTTTGGAGAGTAACAGGCAGTTTGTTTGAAAGAACACCAGCACTGTTCCATGTAAAGGACTGTGGGGAAGAAAAGTTTTCCAGATGGGCAAAAACTGAACTTGGTACAAGTAGGGGAGCTTGGCTTGCTGAGAAGAGCTTTGCTGCAGGGCTGTGCAGTTGTAGCCCAACAGGAAGGACCCATGCAGCACAGAGAGGGAGCCTGGAGTATAAAGTGGCCTATACAGAAGTGGAACTTGTGACACTGTGCTGCCTGCTGGCAGCAGGACGTCACACTGCGAGCCTGTGGTGCTGTGAGGTGTGGAGCAGAGTGCTGCAGGAGGGCAGGGAGAGGAGAGGTCTGCTGAGTCCTGCTGCTGGGAGCCAGGTCTGATCAGCCATCCTCAGCTTCATGTGCGGCGCTGCTGCACAGCGTGAGGACTGAAAGAGTGCACTGGAAGTGATGCTTGTGAACTTGCATTCTTGCTTTTCCCTTTTTAATGATAAAATGTATTTATTGACAGATCTACAAGCGCGTGGTTTTTTTTTCCTTTCTAAGAAGTGAGCAAGTAGTGAAGTTTGACTCTGTAGTGTCAGGCTCTAAAGGCCAGTTGGCTGTGTAAGCTGTCCTGTGTAAGTTGTTGTCCTTTTGTGTTATGCAGGAAGATGAAAAATTTCTGTCCGAAGTTTTTGCACAACTAACAGATGAAGCTACAGATGATGACAAACGATGTGAATTGGTAAGTCCTTGTGCTGGGGACTTGTTGGAGTGCTTTAATCTTCAGGCACAAAGCAGGAACACTGGAGCTGTTCTAGTTCTGCCTCCAGTCAAGTGTTTCTGTAGCCCTAGAGGGAACCATTTCTACTGTAGCATCATCTTTGATTTTGTACTCACTGGAAGAATATTGCGTGTGAGGTAAAAATCTGATTTATTTGCTCTCAGTAACTGAGAAAGTGCAGGTGCTAAGATAAGTCTTAAGCTTGAAAACGCACCTCCTTCACTGGTTGGTGACAAGCTGCATGTGGTGCTGTCTGGATCCAGGATGGGACTCAGAGATCCCTGTGTGTCCCTTCCATCTTGGCATGTGAATGATCCTGAGTGCTCCTCAGCATGCTCTCTCCCTTAGGCTTACCATACAGTTACTGCTTTTTCTCACTGTATTTTGCTCAGTCTCATTGTTTCAGCCCTGGGGCTGAGGGTTAACGATGGTCTCTTAGTATGTATATTGCAAACATAGAATCACAGAATGGCCTGGGTTGCAGAGGAGCACAGCGCTCATCCAGTTCCAACCCCCTGCTGTGTGCAGGTCACCAACCAGCAGCCCAGGCTGCCCAGAGCCACATCCAGCCTGGCCTTGAATGCCTGCAGGGATGGGGCATCACAGCCTCCTTGGGCAGCCTGTTTCTCTCTGACTCTTTATCAGCTTAAATTGCCTTACTAAAATCTAGAGTGGCTGTTTTCAGCAAGGGAGAACGTGTTTGTTCTTTTAACAGAAGGCAAACTGCAGAAGTAGAAATCCTTCCCATGCTAAATGTGATAAAATAGCTGCAAGATGACTGTCCTTCTTTGAGGTAAATTCAGCCTCTTAACAGACCTTGTTATTAACTGCTTTGGCTTTCCTTTCATCCTTAATGTTGCCTCACTGATGCTGAACATTGGAGGAGAGGAGCAGAGCAGTCCCTTTCGCAGGCAGGCATAGCCCAGCCAGTACACAAACTGGTACAAATCACAACCATTTCATGCTTTCCTGAATCAAATGCTCATTTTTTCCCCTGTGTTACAGGTTAACTTTTTCAAGGAGTTCTGTGCATTTTCCCAGACATTACAACCTCAGAACAGAGATGCGTTTTTCAAAACTTTGGCAAAGTTGGGAATCCTTCCAGCTCTTGAAATTGTGATGGTAAGTGAAAATTCAGAACTGTTTGTAATAAAAGGGGGGAAAATGTGTGACCTTTCAGCAGATCTGCCCGATGCCTTTCTGTAATTTCATTGGATGGCTTTGTTCTTCTGAAAGTAGCAGTGGCCCCACTTGCTTGCAGTGACTGCTCTGGCTTGGTGTGATGGCGCAGTGCTCTTGACAACAAGTGTAAAATTCAGAAAGGATTCTTTCATGGTTCAGCTCAGTGTTGTTGTTGTTGTAGTTGGAATAGGACCAAAGAAGTATTTTTAGATAATCTTGACCTCTTATCTGTTCCTATCCTATCCTAATCCTGCCTTTTCAGTGGTATAAAGCAGATTAATCCATCTTAATCAGCAATGTGAAAACATGCTCTTTCACTCCTTTGGTTGAAGCATCTGTTGCTGCTTGATGTTACAACTTGTGTGTCATTGCTGTTGCTGGAAGCTGTTGTACTGTTTGTTTTAATATTTGGGAAACAACCTGTGATGTCAGCGTTCTTTGTTAACTGTGTACAAATTAAAAGCAATATGAATGTTAAGTGATGGGACAAATTCTGATCTTGTGCTTCTTTTCCACATGTAGACTGCTTCAAGTGTTTCCCATCCTGTTAATCTTCTAAACTTAGAAACTGCACATTTTCTTGTTGTCTGAGTGAGGTACAAATGAATTTATACTAAAACATGCAGTTGGTTCTTTTCTACAGAACTCTGCATACTGGCCTTCAGTGCCGTAGGGAATAACACCATAAAACATTTCTTGCCTAAATTAGAGGTGTCAAATCGACAGACATCCCTGTGATCTTCTAAAGGATGGAGATGATGGGGGAAAAAAATCCCTTCTTTCTCCTGTCACTGTTCTGCTGCCGTGTAAATCTTAATAATGTGTTCTCAAAGCTTGTAACTCCCTGCTAAATTGATCTCATTTTCCCAGGGAATGGACGATTTGCAAGTTAGATCTGCTGCTACAGATATATTTTCTTATCTGGTAGAATTTAGTCCATCCATGGTCCGAGAATTTGTAATGCAAGAGGCCCAGCAGAGTGATGATGTAAGTAAACATGTTGTAAAGTTTGTTGAGTTCATTAAATGTATTTGTTTGGGAACAGAACAAAAAAACCCACAGACCGAAAGCCTCCCTGGCACTTGAGATGCATTTAGTGCAGAAATGTAGATGGCAGAAACACAGGGAAAAATAGATGTCAGATGCAGACATTTCTGAGTATTTCATGGTGGATTCCTGCATGTGCACAGCAATAAGTTCATAACTCTTTCTAGCAGTGATTTTTAGTTGAGGTGGGTTTTGCATGACAGAAACTCCGGTGTTTGAGTGCATGGTCACAGTTTGCTTCATTATCGGAGGGGAAAAAAGAGCACCCTGGTGTGTGAGCTGTGGAAATCATTGGGCTCCTGAAACCGTGCCTCATTTTTAGCTTTTGTTTTTTCAGGACATCCTCCTCATCAATGTGGTCATTGAGCAGATGATCTGTGACACTGATCCTGAGCTCGGCGGGGCTGTTCAGCTGATGGGGCTCCTGCGCACTTTGATAGACCCAGAGAACATGCTGGCCACAGCTAACGTAAGGGAATGCAGAGGGCTGAAGACACTTCACCAGCTCAGCAGAAATAAGAAACTGGTTTTCGTCTTGTTGTTCTCATCAGAAGAGTAAAAAAAAGAATATTTGTTACAGCGTCAGTTTTAACAAGCTGTAAGAGAAACTGAAGCTTCCTTTGGTAACGTGTGGATATGGCGTTGCCCAAGGGTTTGGTAACACAGACTGCTGAAGGCTGCAGTGAAATAGCACCAGTTTGATCACAGCTCCTGGTAGCTCAGCTATGGATACATGGATGAGAGAGTCCAGTTATACCAAGTTGCTGTTTTAATACCAGTGGCACAATGCTAGCAGCATGCCAGGGTATTTCATAGAATGGCCTGGGTTGCAAAGGAGCACAGTGCTCATCCAGTTCCAACCCCTGCTGTGTGCAGGTTGCCAACCAGCAGCCCAGGCTGCCCAGAGCCACATCCAGCCTGGCCTCGAATGCCTGCAGGGATGGGGCATCCACAGCCTCCTTGGGCAACCTGTGCCAGTGCCTCACCACCCTCTGGGGGAAAAACCTCCTCCTAAATGCAATGCATATTTAATGTGTGTTGTTCTTAAGAAGGCACGCTGTGTGCTGGCGGGCATGCGCTGTATAGGATGTAAGGAAATAGACGCGGTGATGCTTGTTGTGCTTCTTGATGCAGGTGATTATGGGTAAAATTAATGCCCTCAGGAGTGGTTTAAGCAAGCTCTGTGAAGCAGTGAGAGCACAGTCAGTCTTTTCAGTGTGTTTGCATCCACCGTGTTTTTTTCTATCAGTATTTAAGTTGATTTGGTGTCTCAGATCACTTTCCCAAAATATAGAAATACACCTTGAGAGAGATTAACATTGCAGGTGCAAACAAGAAGACGCAGGCAGACCAGAGGGGGTTGGGTACAGTTTTCTGCAGGATACCTCCATTGCTGCTACTTTTTAGTTAAGAGTACACGTGCAGTTGCCAATGTTTAATAAAGTTTTGTTTGTTTTAGAAAACAGAAAAAAGTGAATTCCTCAACTTCTTCTACAACCATTGTATGCACGTTCTTACCGCTCCACTTCTGGCGAACACATCAGAGGATAAATGTGAAAAAGGTAAGGTTACTTCTGGTTTTAAAATCTTGTTTTTTTGAGCTTTAGGAAATACCAGCAATAAGCCTGTGATGCAAGATGGGAATGTGTGTCCTGGAAACTGCTGGGCTTCTGTGAGCACAGAGCATTCACAGCCCGCGTTGCAGCGCTGCGTGGCGACGTGCGGGTCGGTGCTCTCAGGCACCTGCTCACGTGTGCCAGTGTTAGCCAGGCTGTAAAAGAGGATGTTTGCCATGAAGCTGCATCTGTAGCTCACGGGAGGCTTTTGGAAGAGCAGGTGCAGAGATGCTGTGATGGTGTGGGAAGTCCCTGTCAGCTCAGGCGATTGACTGAAGCCTGGATTAGGCAACAGTGGGGAAATGCTGAAGGAAAGCTCTGTGGAGCTCCTTCTTCTTGTCTCTGACTTGGTGGTGAACGAATTGGCACTTAATTACCTAATTAGCACTCACATCAGTTAAATGCTTTACACAGACACTTGATGTCATGGCAGCCTCTGAGTCAGGCTTTTTTGAAAGCACTTTTTCTTGCAAATATGTTTGATTTGGTGGTACCCATTTTCTCGTGGTTGAGTGGAAAAAAACCAAATGTGTGTTAACTGGGAACAGAAATAGAATATCTGGAGCATTCCTTTGGAGATATTTGAAGAAAATAGAATTAGCTGTGTAGGAATAATATTCCTCAGTGTTAGATTACATACTTCCACCTACTTGCATTTAAAATTTTGTAACATAGATGCACTGAGATGTCAGCTGGCATGCGTTCTGCCTGTGATTGCTTCCCTGCAGCTCAGTTTTGGTTAAATTCAAAGCTCAAACAGCTGCTAGAACTACTTATCCCTATCTTTTGCGTATTTGCAGTGCTTTGAAGACTTTTTCTTACATTTGCTTTGTTTTCTATTTATCAGATGCAGTAGTTGGGTCCACTAAGAGTAATACAATTTGTCCTGGTAAGTTTTAACTGACCTTGAGTTCTGAACCTTGTTCTGTATCATGCACATCTTCATTTAAAGAAGAAAGTTCATCTTGTTGCTTCTGTACTTACTGTTAAAGGAGCTGTGGGTGCTGGGTTTCATTTGAGCTAGCAAGAAGCTGGAAGAACATTTTCATCTATTTCTGAGGAGCTGTGTTTTTAATTCTCCCCTTTCCGGTCTCTCCTGCTTCTGAAAGATCCTCCTCCTCAGTGTCTGTTCATGTCTACGTTTTTCTTGCAGATAATTACCAGACAGCACAGCTGCTCGCCTTAATCCTGGAGCTGCTCACTTTCTGTGTGGAGCACCACACGTATCACATCAAGAACTACATTATGAACAAGGATTTGCTAAGAAGGGTGCTGGTTTTGATGAATTCAAAACACACTTTTCTGGCCTTGTGTGAGTATGGAGCTGCCACAGTTTCCTTCCTCAGGATGTTTTTTGTACTGCATGGGATAGGTTGTAAATAAAAGGATAAGCCTAAGTACAGAACTGGGGTAAATCTCTGTTTTTACAGGCTTGCTGTTTAGTGAGTCTGAAAAAAAGAAGTGGCAGATATCTGTTAGTGGAGTTAACTGGAGTGGTGGAGGGAGAATGACTGCAGCTGGTGATGTGGTAGCAGGGATCTGCTGTGATCTTGTGTGTTAAGTGGAAGTCCTGTCTTTTCTAAGTAACTTCCTAAATGTGGTGCTGCACCTGGGGAGCAAACGGACTGGATGATGCGTGGTTCTGGAAGGTGCACACAGAAGCATGGGAATGAACTAATTTAATTCTGCATTCACTGCGGTTTGTTATTGCACTACTTCAAAAAGAACCTGATGGATCCTGATGGCATTCAGATACAGAGGAAAGTCAGAGAATGGAGGAGGAAAGCAAGTTAACCGTCTGCAGATGTTTGTTTTGAGTTTGTCTTTTCAGTTCTTGCCAGGAGAGGCGGATTGGAGGCTGGATGTGTGATTACTCTTTCATTTCTTTCCTCATATAGGTGCTCTTCGCTTCATGAGGAGGATAATTGGCCTGAAAGATGAATTTTACAACCGTTACATCACCAAGGGGAATCTCTTTGAGCCGGTTATAAATGCTCTGCTGGATAATGGAACCAGATACAATCTGCTCAACTCTGCTGTGATCGAACTGTTTGAATTCATCAGAGTGGTACGTGGTTAAGCAGCTTCTGCAGCTCTTGTGTGTGTGTATATATAAGCACACCAGTCACCCCAGGCAGAACAAAATGCACATACTTCACAGGAATTAAATATTTAATAGTAATTAAAGTCACAAATTAAAATCCCAGAGAGAGATTAAAAATAGAAAGGAGCCAGTGCACTGCTGCGTGCCCGTTTTACTCGATCATTCTGTGCAGATAAATGTAGAAGCCTTATTTATACCCGTGTCTGTGTAGAAGTTGGCATCCTGGAGACAAAATTCTTGTAAATGGCTGAGTTGTTTGAGAGCAGACTTGGAAGTGAGGAAAACGAGACCGATTTGAGTGTAAATTGGAAAGATCATTGTCCTTTCTGAGATGGTGTCAGCTCTGAAACAATGGCTCTTCCACCAGCAGCACACAGACAGGACAGGCAGTACGAGCAGGAGCACCACTTGTACTGTGGGGTAGGAAACAAGGGTTTAGAGCAGGTGCTGAGCTGTGTGCTGCGAGCATGGTGGTGTGGGAGTCTTCTCAGAAGTCTTTGTGGCCTGTGAAAATGAAGGCACTTTTTAGATGTAGGCTGTTGTAGTTGCTGTCATTCCCAGAAAAAGGGGAAGTGTGTTGTATTTTCAGATATCTTTTGCCCTTTGGTCTGAGTGTTAAGGCTTACCCAGCACAATTAGGCTTATGGTTGGGCGGCTGAACAAAAGGTGCCATGTTCCACATGTGCAGATGCAGCTATTTAGAACTAAAGAGAAGTAAAATTTAGGGGGAGAGCAGGGCCTAATGAAACTTTTTTTTCCTCAGTTAAGCCTAGTCTGGAATAGTGAGTATCATGGTTTAATCAAAATATAACAAATAGGGTTGGTAAAATACAGAGCGTTGTCTATTAATCTGGAAATACTGTGAAAAACAGCAATTGATTTTTATGCTTTTTACAAGAATCGTGGTCACAGAATGGCTTGGGTTGGAAGGAACCTCAAAGTGTCCCTTCCCCTCCTCCCCCCACCCACAGTTACCCACCCTCCTGCCTCCCACCAGCTCAGGCTGCCCATGGTCCATCCAACCTGGCCTTGGGCCTCCAGAGCTCTCCAGGCAGCAGTGCCAGTGCCTCACTGCTCTTTGAGTGAAGAATTCCTTTGTAACTCCTAACGTAAATCTCCATCTTTTAGTTTAAAGCCATTCCCTTTTGTCCTACCGCTACATGCAATTGCAAAAAGTCCCTCTCCAGCTTTCCTGTAGGCCCCCCTTAGGTACTGGAAGGCTGTTCTGAGGTCTCCCCAGCACCCTCAGCCTTTCTTCATAGGAGAGGTGCTCCATTCTCTGAGCATCCTTGTGGCCTTCCTCTGGACCCTCTCCAGCAGCTCCACATCCCTCCTGTGCTGCAGATGAAGTTTACAAGGGCAGAGCAGAGGTGGACACTCCACCCTCCCCCGACCCTGCTGGCCACATAAGTTGTAATTCACTTAGGACAACTCATCAGTTACTTCTAAAATTAATTGTAAAGCTTTCTGAACTTCTGCAGACTTAAATATTGCTTTGTTCTTATGCAGGAAGATATTAAGTCGCTTATTGCACATATAGTTGAAAACTTTTATAATGCACTTGAATCTATCGAATACGTTCAGACATTCAAGGGGTTGAAGACAAAATATGAGCAAGAGAAAGACCGGCAAAACCAGAAACTGAACAGGTAATAACTGTAGTTTGCAATGCTGCTGTTAGTGTCACGTAGTATCAGCTTACTGCTGTTGTGTTTTTTTTAATTCTTTCATAAATGTCAGAAAAAGCAGGAAGCTGTGGTTGAGGTGTGAGCTTCTTTGTATTTTTGTATGCATTAAGAGTAAACCTACGTCTGGCTTTCATCACTGGCCTGTTGTTGTACAGTTCAGTTTGTCAGCGCGCTAAATGTTAGCCAGAAGACATTCAGCTTAAAAGAGCAGAATCGGTTCCATTCCAAGTTGGGCCTCAGTCTGCCTTCTTGCCACTTGTGTTGGTCAAACTGTTGGTGGCAGAACGGTTTACCTTAAGGCATCAGAAGCCATTTCTTGTCCTGTGGGATCCTGACACTTGAACCACACGTTGTGTGTCTCTTACAGTGTTCCATCTATATTGCGTAGCAATAGATTTCGCAGAGATGCAAGAGCCTTAGAGGAGGATGAAGAAATGTGGTTCAATGAAGATGAAGAGGAGGAAGGTGAAGCTGTTGTACCTCCAGTTGAGAAGTCTAAACCAGAGGATGATTTTCCAGACAGCTACGAAAAGTTTATGGAAACTAAAAAAGGTATTTCATCTCATTGCCACCATATTTGCTCTGTGCAAGACGTGCAGAGTGTTGTGTGCTCACACCTGGGGTTTGAGTCACAAGCAGGAGGAAAGGTGTTCCACAGTGAGGGATGAACTGCCGGTGTGTCTTTGCGAGGCAGGTGAGGATTAAAACAAGCACGATTGCTCCTCACGTGCACCTGCTTTAACTGGCATCCAAAACCGAATGTCTGTGTGTGTGCTGGGTGTGCACCCCTGTGCCAAAGCAGTGCCGTTCTCACCTGTAGTGCTGGCACGCTTTGTTTGCATGGGGTCAGCGAGCAAGCTGCTCGTTTAAACCAGAATTTTAGGAAGAGGCTGCTTCTGCCCCATGATGCAGTGATGTGGACTGTGCTGCGTGGGGCATGGCTCATACTTACGCGTGAAAATTCTGTCCCTCAGCTAAGGAAAGTGAAGATAAAGAGAATCTTCCCAAAAGGACTTCAGCTGGGGGATTCAAGTTCACTTTTTCCCACTCAGCCAGCGCAGCCAATGGTGCAAACGGTGCAAACAGCAAATCTGTGGCAGCTCAGACATCACCAGCAAGCTCCAATGGCTCCTCTTCCAAGAACGCCACTCTGACCACAGCAGTGACAGCCACAAAGGTGGGAGATGTGTGTGAGAGCAGCTGCCCTCACGCAGGGCAGCGGAGCTGCAGGTCGGCTCTGGTCTCCGGGTGGTGCCTCACTGCAGTGTGCATTTGTCTGCTGCCTGCTGCTTTGGGGAAGGTTGGAAGTAGTGGGTGGGGATGGGAACCTGCTGCTCATGCACCGGGCTGTCATCTCATCTTTTGCATAACTCCGCTGCTCCCAGCCCTCAGCTTTTCCGAGTCCATTCCTGCTTTGTGTGGGTGACTTTTTCCCCCTCTATTACGTCAGTGGACTGCACTGTCAAGAGCCTCAGTGCTTTTAAGCAGATGAAATTCGGAAGTTAGCTGATGCACCTGGTATGTCTTGTCCGTGCTTTCTTTGCATTGTCAGCCTGAAAGCTCAGGAGAGGTTGGAGATGAGTGTGCTAAAATGTTTATTGCACACTCCTGAGCCTTACCAGGAAGATGTGCGTGTACACGTTAGGTTTTGCAGCAGCGGTTTGAGCTTACAGAGATCTGAAATAATTCCGAGGCTGGATGCAGAGGAGCAGGGATGCTTCAGTATTTTCTTTTGCCCTTGAGATTGAAAGACACTCTGAAGACAAATGGGTCTGTGAATGGAAAAGGCATCACCAAGGAGATAGGCAATCCCCAGCTTGCAAATAGCACTCGGTGTTTGTAACTCCTTAGAGGAGAATTACTGAACTTCACAGAAAGTTGTAAAGCACTGGTAGATCTGAGCGCCATCCTAAGAAAAGCCTGGCGTTCTGCAGGCTCGTGTGTCCTGGATGAGCGTTGGGGGAGGCATGCTCTAAAAATGTCACTCTGCTGGGTGCTTTTTCAATGAGAGATTTGTTCTTTTTCTTTGGCTTGGCAGGGAAGTCTAGTTGGCCTGGTGGATTATCCTGACGATGAAGATGATGACGAAGAGGAAGAGACGTCTCCAAGGAAAAGATCTCGTCTGGGTTCATAAAGGAAACCAAAACTTTGGAATAAAAACTTTTTATTACGGGGTTTCAAATGCTGCAACTGTTTTAAGAGCTAAAAAGAATCTGATTGAGAAAGCTTTCTCCCACGAGTACATGAGATAACGCAAGGAGTAGCAAAAGAAACTCGGTCTGTGAGCTAGAAAGGGTTAGTTCTGTAAACACAAGGCTTCCAAGGAACTGAATGTCTTTCTAGTAAGTAAGGAGTCTGCCTTTCAGGCTGTCAAGAAAAAAAAAGAAAAGAAAAAAAAAGAAAAAGTGGGTTGGTATTCACAGAACCTGGATGATGGCTTCTCAGCAAGGAAAGTCTCAGGTGTTGGGAGGGCGTGGGGGGGAAGGGAACGATTTCTAAAAAAAAAAAACTATTGCAGGGTTTCCCCAGTGTTTAACAGAACTAGGAAAAGCAAATCAAGCTTAAATTTTGAACCCGGTAATCTTAATTTTGTAATGGTGCTGTCACATTGTGTTCTTTTAGCAATGCCTCTTTAAGAAAAAAACTGAAAAAATTAAAAAAAAATAATAATAATAATAAGGGAAAACTAACTGTATTTGCATAAGAACAATCTAGATTTCTGGGACCATTTATTACAAATGAAACTTCTCGCGGTCGGAGGGAGGGACACTGCATTTTTAGTGCATGCTGAGTTGGTTTGGTTTTGGTTTTTTTAAACGATTGAAAATCAGTTTTAATTTCTATTTTCCAAGAGGATAAAACGGAAGCTGGATGCAGAATAGATGGTTCTGCTTGGTTGGTTGTTGTTTTTCTCTTTGTTCCCCCCAGCCCCCCATTAGGTATCCCGTAATAACTAAGCCAAGGACTGACTGCTTCCCGAACATCTGCAGGGACTGCTGTGCTCACAGCACGCGCACAGCTGCGGGCTTCACGCTGTGGGAGACGCGGGATCGGAATCATTTTGTGCTTGGTTGAAACGAGCTGCAGCTTCTCAGAGCAGATCTCCCTGTTTGCAACTTGAAATTGCGTAGCTGAGGTGGTATTAAGAAACACTAACGGGTTTTTCTTAGCGACGGGTTTAGTGGCGTTTAACAGCAAAGTCTGTGTGGACCAAGGTGGAATTCTAGGAGCAGAAGTTCTTTGGGGCGGAATCAGCAGGCAGCACCTCGGTCTGGGTGCGAGACGAAAGCTGCTTTTCGAAGATAGAAAATAAAAGTACATTCCACGTAGGTAAATGAAGCGCAGCCAAGCTAGGTGAGCTGAGAGAGGCCAGGTCCAGGGTTTTATTTCAAGAACAGGAAGCGAACTGTAAATATTTTAATGTTAGTTTGCCCATATGTGTTCTGAGATCGCGAAGAAGGGAGAGGAAACTTCCCAGCACGTGATGTCAGAAGTGTTAAAAAAAAGAATGAGCTACGAAACCAGCTGCAGTCCACCACGTAGATCACTCTTGTAATGTGTTATGGGTCCATTTCTCCTGGAATAGTCTGAACTGAAGCAGTTTCTCTGTTTTGGAGATTTTGTAGTTAATTTTAATTTTAGCTATCGTTTGGAAAAAGATGGGCTGTCTGTGTAGATATGAAGTATAGTTTTTCCATAAAACAGAAGTTTATTTTGTATTAAAAATACCACTGTACTTGTTTTACACCATTTGTATACACGTGGTGATATTAATGCTGAACTGTACAATTCAGGAATTAAAATGTGACCCTGTAATTCCATAATTACTGCTTTTGTTTGGTTTGTTGTACACGGTAAGTTCACTCAGGATTTTAAGCGCAGTCATCTTCCAGCACTCGTTCAGAATAGCTGTCGTGCCGTTGTGTTAGTGACTGCTGCATGGGGACACGAGCTCTTCCCACCTCTGAGCCAGGTGCAGCTGGATGGCACTCGTGTGGACCTGGGGATGGCGGTGCTGAGCCCTCGGCTCTGGACGTGGAGGATCTCCATTTCCCTCACTGCTCCAAGCAGAGCTGCCTGCAGTACTGCTGCTGCGTGCTTGCTCTCCCGCTGACCACCGTCTCTTTTTCTTCTCGAGTCTTTTCTCCATCAGTAAAGATGATAAACCACCTCCAGTGCTACTCAAGCAGCAGTTGCACCGTGTGCCTTTACTAACCTAAGGCTGAAAAACTGTTACCTGGCCCGTGGACCCAGGCTGTCCTGATGCTCTCTGAACAGCTACCCAAGGCAGCTCCTCAGGCTCTGACTGAAGCGTTTCAGTGCTCCTCACCACGTCAGCTCTCTCCTCAAGTGCTGTCAGGAGCTTAAAAAATGCTTCAGACCAACACGAGTCTTTCTCCAACAGCAAAAACAAGAACATCACCAACTTTTACAGCTACTAAAAAACTGTACAAAGGGGCATTAAGCTGTGCTGCTCGCATTCCTCTCCTGGTTCTTGCAGAAAGCGGCAGGCAGCACACAGAGCAGCTCACGGCTGGGGTTGTCACCCCGCATCTCGGCCCCCAGGGGTCGCCCACAGCTGCTTCCCCTGCACGGATCCTGCCGGGGCCCTTCCACTACCACTCCTTTTGGAAAAGAACATCTGCCAACATGTACCAGTTATAAATGCTATTTTAATAAAAAGCTACACGGAACTTGGAAGTGGTTGGGCTGTTTCTTTTAACGCCAGTTAGAGTTACAGTCAACAGTGTGCTAAGGACACCCTCTCCCCTGCTTTATTTTAAGTCTGCCAAAGGCAAGCCAGTAAATGATTTGTTTAAAGACTTGACTTTGGAACCAAATTGCTCTGGTGATGTTCCTAGTTCTTACTTTTGCTTTGTTCTTTAAATTATTCATAGCAAACTTGGATCTAAGGTACGGGTGAGCTGCATGGAAGGTGTGTACAGCAGCGTCACCTCCAGCTCTCCTCACTTCATGCTGCATGAGCTGCTCCTTCAACTACAAGATGGTCACATTAGCACTTCCATGTGAACCCTGACTCATTACAGCCCGAAACGGTAGTTTATTTCTGATATTCTAATGAACCAAGTTCTATAATCTTTAGAAAAAGGTAAGGTTAATCAAATCTGTTTGTTCACATTTTTTAGCTGTTATTTTAACAGATGAATATTTGTTGTACATTTGAGTGGGTGAGGCTGTGAAACTGCCCCAGTGCTGAGCACATTCCAGTGAAAATCCGTTTCCAATGTATTTCAGCACAACTTCAAATATTTTATACAAAGTACAGAATGAGTTGTCCGAAAGCTCTATAAAAACAAGTGTGAGATACTTGAAAACAAACTCGTTCCATTATTGGTTATAATTTATTCTAAAAGATGCCTATGTTCTTGAGGTCTGCAAGGAGCTTCTCACAATTACCGCTTATTAATAACTTCTTCTTTTAGTTTTTCTGCCAGCACTTTCCTCTTCTGCAGTAGTTTTTGCTTCTCTTCTGAAACTTCCTACAAACAAAATGGGGGAAAAAAAAAACACTGCAATAAATAAATTGCACAACTTCCTAATGCATACTGCAGCTTCTAATGCTAACTGCTACCCAGGCCGGTGAGCCAAGGAGGGCAGTGCTGGCAGAGACCTTTTTTCCTAACAAGGAGCAGCCAAAGAGCATCGCTTTCAAACCTGATGCTGCACGCCCACCCCTTCAAACTCGCTTGCAACCCCAAATGATGCAAAAAGTTTCTTCATTTCTTGGGAAGTGGGTCAAGCAGTGTCTTCACTTTACGGTGCTGTTCAGGAGTTCACCCATCAACGCCAAGGGCGCATCCTGAGCGCATTAAAATGCTCAGCAATTACAAAGCACTCCTGAGACAACAAAGTTTCTTATCTTAAGTGGGTTCTCTTTGCTAAGGAGCAGCGATTTGCTTTTTGATAGCGTTCTTTTCTAAGGTTTTCTACTATCCCCTTTATCCACACTGAGAGTTCAAGCATTTCTTTTCACATAGATGTTTATCAGACCTGTTATTTGTAACAAACACATCATATTACTATAATAATGATTAGCAGAAGGCTCTTTTCTCCTGAAGTCTGACCTACACTGACTGCTTCATCCTGCCATAGGATGCCAGTCTTTATGGCTGTGCCTGCTTTCCTTGGTGCAGCTGACTGTTGTTCCCAGGTGTGATTTTCTATCACAAGGATTTCTGTGACTGCAGCACCTCCTGCACGCTAAGGAGCGTATCGGTTCATTCACTGACTGACGTGTCAGTCCTTGAGTTCATCTCCCTGCCCTGCCCAGAACACTGTGTGTTTTATACATGGCATTTGCCTAACAGATTGAAAAGCAGCAGAAGCCTTTTTTTTTCTTTTTTTCTTTTTTTTTTTTTTTCCTACTGTGCCTTAAGGAAGCAGGATTTGATACAAGAGTGGTTCTGTTGTTTTCACTGACTTTCCTTGCACTGAGCACTTGCTGTTACCATCACAGGTTTCACCTCCTTGCACTACACATGCAAGGACAAAGCCCTCTGTAAGAGAGATCTGCCGACTGTCCAAGTTGTAAAGTCAGACTGTGACAAATGCTTCAGTCATTATTGCAGATGGAACCAAGATGGTGACAGGATGACCAGCTGAAACAGCAGCAACACGCCGCAAGCCAACCCCTGCTGCTGCATTGCAGTGTCTACCAACTAGAATAATGGGATGAGGATCTCTTGTTACTACAGTCACAATTCAATCTTCTCTCTGAGGTGCAGAACTATCCCACAGAGCTCTCCCTGCCCTTGATACATGGCTGAACAGAGAACGTTTGTAGCTACCGACAAACATGGGTAGGAGACCGTTCATGACTGTATGTGGGACAAAGACACCATGAAGAATGGAATATCTCTTGTATCTCTACAAATTTACCATTCCCTTTCTTATAATTCTAATTCTTCCACAAGTATCTTCTTGTATTGGAGGCAACCAGATAGATGACAGCAGCATCTATTCCTCAAGAGTGCCTTGTCCTTCTAAATTGCATTATCTCATCACTTCTACTCCAGTGGCTGATTTGTTAACCAGGGATTTATTTATATGAAAAAGGAGCAAAACACTCTGAGATCAAGAGAACTAAGCAAGCTTTTCCATGTAAAACTGGACTTTGCAAAATATTTTTTCCCTGTCTTAGCTGAAAAAAAAAAACAAAAACAAAAACAGGGATTTAAGGAAGCCCAAGAGTTGGTCAAAGGATTAAAAGAAAGCCAGTTTGTAAACTTAATCAAGAGGATTTGTCAATACAGAGGTGAAATGCTAACTTAATCATTAACACTTTTAGCCTGTACTCTTCTGCAAAACCAGTGACCTGACAATAGTTCCACTGCTCCCACCACTTGTCCTTTAATACTGCTACCACACTCAGCCATACCTGCACTGAAACTGCCTGCCTGTTATAAAGCCATCAGGATGATTTTAAACCCTTCAGGACGATTTCAAACCCTCTACCTCTTTAGGAGATGGTTCCTCCTCCTTCTGGTCCGTGTTTGTGGGTGGTATTATATTATTTCTTGACTCTTTCTTTGCAGCTACCAGCATATCTCGTTTTTTCTTAAGATACTCCTCCCGTTGTCTCAGCTGCTGCTCGTCAAGTTCTGGTGCATTCTGGATGTTTTTGAAGTACATTTGGAAATAATACACATAACAAAATTAAGTTACGTATTCATGAAATAAAAGCTTTTATATCAACTTTGCCTCTCAACGTAGTCGCTTGTTTTCAGAAGCCAAGCGAGAACTTCAAGCCACATCTGTCTTACTAAGAACTTATCACAAGGTTAAAGGCTGAATGCTAAGTTCTAGAATTCTACTCTTAAAATGGAGTGGTGATCTGAACTCCATGCAAATCAAAGTGCTGAATACCACAAGCAGCATGCTGGTTAAAAGAAACGCATCACGATAACAAAAACCGAGATTATAAACGTAACACTATTTTCTGTCATTCCAGTTTCTGTTTCGGGGCAGAAGGCATTGCTGGTTGTTTTAAACTTACGTGTCCTTCTGGTGCAGCTTTCTGTGCTGCACTTTCCGCACGTTTTGCAGACGCTCTCTTCTTCGTGTCCTCCTTCCCTTTGGGGGGCTGAGGTGAGCGCTCTGGGCCTTTCTGTGATGGGCGGACTGCCTTTAAGTCTGCCCTTGCAGATTGCCGAGATTCCTCTAAACAGCAATGTCAGGTAAAAAAAAGCAAAACAGTAACACATCAAATAAAAAATAAATGGAGGGTTTCCTCTAACATCCAGATCTCTCCTCTGAAGAAGTGGAAGATTTAATAAAAAGGGGAGAAATGTGATTTTATATTCTTTTCATAAAACTTACCATCAAAATCCACTGGTAAGTGGATTTACACGACTAAGTAACTCTTTACATTAAAGCACCACTGCTGCTATGATGAATTACTGTGCAATGCTTGTGTATGGGAACTGCTGAGTCCCAGCCTGACCCACTGATGGAGCACCTGGGGAAAGGACGGTCAGCCCTGCGAGCACAGGTGAAGGCAATTCAGCTGTGTGACCAGAAGGGTGGAGCCTGGCTGCACCTCTCTGAGGCCCCACTGAAGGGCTGACCCCCCTGGGAGAAGGATTTCTCTAAGTCCCTTTCTGGTGAAGCTTTCCCCTGTAGACCTGGAGCCTTTGGATATGGGTAAGCAATTTTTTTTCCCTTCTCTTACAGCACCTTTCTATCATGCCAATTCTCCCATGCTATTGTTCTGCCCTATTGCTACAGCTTGGAATGTAATTTCATATGCAATATTCCAGTGGGTGGTTTATATTAAGATTATGCCCTCATTCTCTGTGTTAAT